GGCTGGCAGTTAAAAAGCTTGTGATGAATGTTTTCACTCCTAGCAGCTGTGTGTACAAAACACATGTTCGGGCTTGCCAGAAACGTATTTTTGACAGTTGGCAGAGAGGAGGAGGAGGAGGAGGAGGAGCTTGGCAGGAGCAGACAAAATGCCAGGGCAGTTCTCTCCGCAGCCTCCGCCGTGGACTTGGAGACGGGGAAACTCGCCCCGCCCAGCCCAGCCCTCGGTGGCCGACAGACCCTTGGCTGAGGGGCCACAGGCCTCTCCTCTTCCACTCTGGCTGTCGGGGGTTTACCAGTTAAGAAGCAGCCCTGGATTCTGCTTACACCTGTCTGAGTCACCCAGTTGGAGAGGGAGAACAAACTTACTCGGGAGTTATTGGGAACGTTACTGAACTGATGCACAACCCCCAGGGGCATCAGCCAGGGCATACGGGTGCTGAGTCACGCTAAGGAGCCTTGGCAGCTGCCTTACCTGCTTTCCAGCCAGGTAAATCCTCCAGCCAATCTTCCTGTCTCACCTCCTTCTGCACCCAGGCGAGCAGCGACTCTGAGGGCCGCCGAGAGGCAGGCAGGGGCCCTGAAGGGCGGCAGGAGAGGCGGGAAGGGACACGCCTTTGTTTGGGGGCAGGTACCCAGGGCAGCTGCCAAAGAACCGACTGGCACAAACACACCCTCACCGTCCCGCCAGGCTTCTCTGCCGCTCCCTTGGCCAGCAAAGGTCTCTGGATGGGAAGGAGGAAGAGAGAAGGGAAGACATAACTTGCAAGGGTCCAGCGCCCCGGAGGGCGTCTTGTTCAGGTTTTCCTGAACCCCAATATCTTTCCTGTTTCAGTCTGCAGTCTTCTCCTTGCAATTAAATGCCTTTCTCTGAGGCAGTCAGGAAGAGTGGACGAGAAACGGCCATCCAAGGGACCGTCTCTTGCCAGTCACGTCCACTCCATCCTCTAGAGTGGGGGGGGGGGAAAGGAATGTCGTATAATTTCCACATGGATTCAAGATCTGACAGCAGGAAAACTGTCCAAAGCGGGAAAATAACACACGTGGGAAATTTGCCCAGGAAGGATTGGCTGGAAGTGCCTCCCCCCCCCCCCATGATGTGCATTGATGAACGGAGCGACTCAGCCCCTCTGAGCCACTGAGGGGCAGTCAAGCACCGTCCCTGAAGGCAGCCTGTGGGCTTGGGGTGGGGGGGCACCCCAGAAGCACTGCTGGAGAGAACTGGAAGTGCCTCTTTCTCTGCAGAGTTCCCGGAGACTTTTGCAAAACTCCTGCGGGGGAGAAATCAGATTTATTCCAGCAGACGCTGCTGTGGAGGTGGGCAGCCCTTAACCGGCCACAGATAAGAAGTGAAAAGCTCAGGCTGGACAGGAAGTCTGGGAAGAGGAAACCCAATCAGCCAGGAAAAGAATCAAATTCATCCTAGTCTCCGCTATACCAGTCCCACAGGTACCCCCGTCCCCCCCATCCGCTGCCCCTCCCCACCCAAGAGAGATTCATTTCAGAGGCATAAATGCTTCCAGGTTGCAAGGGGGATGCCACAGGTCAAAGGGGCAGGCAGGGGGGGGGGGCTGCGTGGGGCTGCCCCCCCGTCCTGCACTAGGGGATGGTCCCCTCCAGTTGAAGGCTGGAGGACCACTCAGGGCCTCAGGGCTGGGTTTGGCAGATCCTGCTTAATGATGGCTTGCTGGATAACCCACAGTTAGTCCAGGGCACCATGAAATGGGACTTGCCAACCCTGGAGTTGGGCACAAGCTATAGACTGACCATCAGCCAGCTCAGGGGTCAGTTGTGGCCCCCGCATGGGCTGGAAGAGTCCCGCACACAGCTGCGGTCAAGGCCAGAGCATGGCTGGACCCCCACTGACTCAGCTTCCCCCTGCCCATGCCAGATTCTGGCTTAAATATTGTCAGAGCCGGTCTCCCTGATCCAGATTCGCCTCTAACTGGGACAACACAGTTGCTGGGTGTTCCCTGGGCCCCCCCTCATCAGCTTTCTGGAAGTCGGGGGAGGGGGATAAAACAGGTTAACTGAGCAGCTGAAAGGCAGCAATTTAGCGTATGGGATCATTTACCTGATTAGAGAGTTTATTTTATAGAAATTGCTTCAGAATGGGGCTGCGTCCGGGGAAGGGGCTGGAGAAGGCATCAGACCCTCCATTGGGGGGGGGAGAGAGCCCCAGCTGCCAAGGAAGGCATCCTTGCCCGTTGTTTAAGTGGCACAAGAAATTATGCCCCTTAATTATAAGCGGATTAGGAAGCGTGCCAAGGGAAGCCGTGAAAAGGGATTTGCAAGGGTTTTCCTGCTGCTCCCCCAAGGAAAAGGGGGTGTGGTGCCCTCAGGTGAACCTTCAGCTGCTTGCAGGTAAAGGCTCCCTCCTGGAGGGGCTGCCAGGCCTCCGTCCCTGAGCATTTTGCCACCAGGGCTCCTTCCCGGTTTCACAGCTGAGCCTTCCCACTGGCAGGGTTGGTGAAGAAAGAAAGAATGGGAAAGCAGATCTGGCAGCTTCAAAGGGGCAAGATTTAATTCCCCCCCCCTTTGAAAGGCAGGCGCTCTATTTATTTATTTTATTTATTTATTGAATTTATATACCGCCCTATCTCCCTTACGGGACTCAGGGCGGTGAACAGGCGATAATAAAAACCATGATAAATATAGGCAGTTCTAAAATCAAATTAAACAACGGGCCTGTTCTAAAAACACACCCATACAAAAAACCCCACTAAAACATAATCAAACTACGCCAGGCTCTAACCATTGGAGGCCCCTTCCTCTCGATTGGCGGGTTTGACTTGGGTAGGAATGAAAGAGGGACCTGCAGAGAGAGTCGGGCTTGGCACGTGCCAACCTTTGCTAGGTTTCCCTGTTTAGCCCCAAAGGTGGTTTTGAGCAAGGCCCGCCTGGCTTTTGTCGCACTGAAAGGGTTGTTCTCTGCCTCACAGCTGCCACGGCCACGGCCCCTCCGATGCCCGCTGGTTTTGTACCCCGATTTATACGTCCATCATATCCAGTCTGCACTGGAAGAAAGAAGGAAGGAAGGAATAGAAGACAATGAAAAGGTTAGGACTCTAATTCTGTCTGTACTGGTCCTTAATTAACTTCCTGGATAGGCCCCACCCACCTTTTGTCTGTCTATCTACATCCTTCCGTCCATCCATCCATCCATCCATCCATCCATCCATCCATCCATGTCATCTATATCTATCTATCCATCTATATCATCCATCCATCTTGACATCTATCCATCTATCCATCATCCATACATCTGTCATCTATATCTATCTATCCATCCATCCATATCATCCATCATCTATCTATCTATCTATCTATCTATCTATCTATCTATCTATCTATCTATCTATCTATCTATCTATCTATCTATCATCTCTTTATCTATCCACTCATCCACCCACCTATATACTTATCATTTATCTATTCACACGCATAGACACACACACACACGGACACACACAAATAACCGAGGGAGATTTTAATGCGGGAAGTTCTCCCTCATTTGCATGTGTTTTGCGCCTGGCACCAGCACGGGTGCCGGGGTCAATTGAAACTCGAGAAAAAGAGGAGAAATTTTATGCAAAACTGTTGATTGCATTTGTATGTAATGAAATCATCCAATATTCATCCGCCTCTGGGCGCTAATCGGGAAGGAGAACCGGAGGACGGGAGAGTCGCCGGGAAGCTGTAATGAGCTTCTGTAGTGATTAAAAAAAAGCACTCCTGCCCGCCGACAATCCAGCCCAAAAGCGCCGCTAATCAACACTGGATTTCGGAGGCAAAGCGATTACGCCGCCACCGCCGCGCGTCTTTCCCCCTGCTCGGCACCCTGTCAAAGAGGGCCGCGCCTGGGAAGCCTGGCATGCCAAGCCCGCACGGCTCTCCTTGGAGAGAAGGCAGGCGGGCGGCACAATCAGAGCGCCAGGCGCCCTCCGCACAAAAGCAATCGAGGGGCTCCGCTCCCCTTGCCTGCCCCCCCAAAAAAACGAGGCTCAAAGGGGAGCAATCACCTCTCTTTTGAACTTCCACCTTGGCCTGCCACCTTTCCATCTGGCCCCGGTTTTTTGGCTACAATTGCTCGGTTATTGTTCAGCCTGGGCCGATGGCTGTATTTGCATGCCTGGCACCCCTGTCCAGGTCCATCTTGCCAGTGAGTAAAGCGGTTAAATTTGGTTTTCTGCCCACATTTTTTCTTTCCTGCACAAGGCGGGTTTCCAAAAGGTTTGGCTGGAGCAAAGAAACCAGCACAGAAGGGAGTAAAATTCCACATCCAGACAGTCGCATGTCCTAGAAATGGTACATTTATTTGTCCAGCCGCCTAAGATAAATGAACATTAGGGCCACAGTCACATGACCACCCTTATGTTTAACCTACCATGCTGCGCAAACCAGCCTACCTGGATAGATGGTGGTTTAGGATGTCTTAAGGCCGGATTGAGCAAACCCTGGGCGAGCATCGCCAGGCAGAGCCCGGCACACTCGTGGCTCAGCATGATTTGGGCACACAAGCAAGAAGTTTAAAGCAATCTAGGGTTTATGCACCAAGCCCAAACGTGGCTTCTTGCTTGTTTGGCGAGTGCAGAGGCTCAAAGTAAATCCCAGGTAAGCCTTAGGTGTGAACCAAGCCAGGTGTTGGTCAGCATCAGCCCTTCTGAAAGTCCAGGATTTGGTCAAAGAGGCCTGAAGCTAGGAAGGACGTCCTGAGGACTGGAGAGGAAGGTCGCTCTTCTGTCTGGAGACCAAAACTGAATTGTGCTTTGGGCAGAAGGGAGCTTCCGGTCCCAGCACATCCCACCGGGTCTCTAGGTTAAGGTGATGAGAATAACAGAGTTGGAAGGGACTTTGGAGGTCTTCTAGTCCAACCTCTGCCCTTTGCAACAGGGCGGCTGTTTTTAATGCCCAGACTGAGGTGGGGATCCAGAAGCCTCCCCAGGATGTGCCCGTTTCCATGCACTCTGATGCTGCTCAAAAATTAGGGGTTCAACGAGATCATTCAGACTTGCTTTATTTGATATACGAGATTCCTGGCAGATTTATGAGGGCACCAGCACCCTCTGCTCCCCCAAAGCCAGGCACCAAGGGCACAGCAGGCCATTTCATCGATAATGGTTTGTGACCCTTCTTTTTCCCAAAATGGCTTCTGGTCCATGCTGTGCTTTCGGCAACGGAGCTGAGATACCAGTTGCCAGAGGAACCAAATTCTCTTTTCCCAGCCCACCTCAAGGCTAAGCCTCCTTCCTCAATTCTGGTTCCAGCAGGTGACAAAGCACCGCGGTGGAGACACCAGTGGGGCTCCCTGACCGTTTAACCAGAAGAAAGGAGCTCGTGGCGACCTCTGAGAGACCCTAGGCAAGGAGCTCCTTCGTCTTTGCTGCCAAGAGCTTCTCCATTTCGGCCGTGGCATCTTCTGTCATTTGCTGAATCTGTGGCAAATTGAGAAAAGAACACCGTGTGAATTCTTTTTTTTTTTTCCTTTTCCTTTTTTTAAAGAAAAACGCCGACAGGTAGCAAATAACAATTGCACTGGAATTTTCATCAGAAGCGTAAGAACGTAGGGACGTCCATCTGGATGAAAAACAAAGGCCGGCCACCGAATGAGGACACGGCTGTCCAGAGGTGGGGAAACCTCTGATGCGAAATGCGACCTTTCCGTGTCCCTGCCAGGTCAGGACAGCCCAGCCTGATGGTCAGTTCTAGCCTGCAGCGGGTCCTCCCAATCCCACAGTACCTGCATTTATTCATTTATTTTTCTCATATTTCTGTCGCGTGTATCAGAGGTGGTGACCCTCTGAGAGCTGTATGCCACGGAATTTCATTTCAATGTATGCCAAATAGTGTACCTTCAAAGCGACAATAAAGTTACTGTTCTGTTATTCTCTTCTACCTGCTTCTCTATCAGTCGGATGGTGTCTTCCGACGTGGTGCTTTTGGCTTTCTTGGTCTGGTTGACGGCCCCAGTGCGCACTCTGCGCAGAGACTCCTTGGCCTTGTGGGTGAGCTGCTTGGCGACCGTGACCAAGTTCTCCCTGTGTTCACGGGTGATTCTGGTGGGGGAAAAGCGAAGGAGAAAAGGAGCCTCTTGGGACGGATCTAAACGTTTCACGGCATGAAAATGCCCAGAGATGCAAAATTTGAAAGCAATGGAGAAAATGTTTGAAGGAGAAAGAAGGCTGAACTTGGCAGGAGAGGCGGCTGGATGAGGGCAGGGCAGTGACTGGGCGCATGATGTTTTGGAATAATATCTGGTAAGAGTTTGCATTTCTGGCTTTTTTAATGACCGCAGCTTCTGGAGCATGGAGATTACGCCAGCGGCCCAGCAGACACAATTTGGATGGCTCCCTCCCTCAGGAGGCAGCCTGGCAATCAAACATGTGGGTCTTGTCCCTCAAAAGAGGGACGGTGGCTGGTTAAAACGAAGGAAAGAAGGAGAAGGATGTTCAGCTCTGACTTGCCTGTTTTGGGGTTTCTCTTCCTCTCCAGGAATTCAGATGGGAAGAGATGACCTGGGAGCATGTTAACAATCAGGCTGCTGCATGGCAATTAGGAGGATAATAGCAGCCTCCCTCAGAATTGGAGGGGGGGGAGAAGGGACACTGAGAGGGGCAGGAGACCAGGAACTGGACTGGCAGGGGAGGGGAGAGGAGGGGGGCAAAGGGATCCCATTCCATCTCCTTCCGTCCCAAACACACAATTAGCTTTTCTTAGTCGGGTTTAATAATGGCACCCTTTATTGGCTGGTGCTAAGTGGCTTCCCACAGCTTTCAACGTGGCCCTGACTCAGATGTAAGCGTTCAAACAAACACCCGATTGGCTATCTTTGTTTAAGCTAATTTAAAACACCAAAGCATGTTGCAAAACTTCAGCAAACCAGGAGGCATTAAAGGGATATTTGAAATGGCCTGGGAGAGCAAGCAGGTCTTCAGCAGGCCTAGCAAGGAGGATTGGGGGGCTGGCTTGGAATGGGAAAATTCTGGGGTGCACGCTAGGCAGTCCCCGCCAAGAGCAATTTCACCCCCTCTTCCAAAGCGCAGGAGGAGGAGGCAAGAAGCCCTTTCAGAGAGGATCTGACTGTTCTAAGCGGACATTCATTTAGCCAAGCAGGCAAAATCGCCCCAGGTGTTTTGCCATGGAGGGGCTGAGAGGAAGGCGGTGGGGGGGGGCCTTACTTCGGGACTGGCACGCGAATCAAGAGCCCATCCGCTTCCGGGTTGAGATTCATCCCGCTCTGTTGGATTGCCTTGACGGCCGCAGCTGTGCTCTGCAACAACGCCAAGATCAAAAAAAAAAGAAGCCAGGGGGAATTAGCAAATAATTATTACCAGATGCCAGGACTCCCCATCAGTGGAGAGCAATCCATCTTGACAGAACATGGAAACATTTAGTTTGGTTACCGGCAAGACCAGGAAGTTACATCGGCCGGGGCCCCTTTGATCAAACTGAATTGCAAGCTGCAGGACGCCCCCCCCTTCCTCCTGCTCCCCCCCCCCAGGATCGAAGATATTGGTGAAGAGGCTTCGGGGGGAGTGGGTGGGGGGGAAAGAAGGAGACTGACGAGGCAGGCAAGGAAGAAAGCAGAAAGGAAGATGGAAACCATCTTGATGGTTTGAGGCAACCCAGATAGCAAAGGAGCAGCAAACCCTCCCGGGGGCTCCAGACTTCTGCAAGATGTAGGAGAAAAGCAGATGAAGGATTCCAGGATGGGCCTTTGGCTGCCAAAGCCCCCACGTGGTCCTGTTTGGGGCTCAGGGGGAAGGCCTCAATCACGTTAACTCGTTCCACATTGCACCGGGCAAGTGTGAAAATAAAGGGGATTAGCACCAGGCCTGTTCTTCGCATCTCTGGATTTTCTGGCAGGCAATTGCTGGAAACCTCTGCCTGCCCCCCCTCCTCCCCCAGGCTCAGCCTTTGTGCCACACACAGCCCTTCGGCAGCCAGCAGAGCGAGGACCGTGTGCGCTCCACGGCATCAGAGGCGCCTAAGCTGGCCATGGGCCTCCTTTCACATTTGTTCGCTCATTTCTCTTAACAAAAAACACCCCGTTCTGTTCTCTTAGGACTCGAGAGAGGAGCAGCATGGAGGAAACGCAACTCAAACTCCCAGTCATTGGAAAGCTTCCCTGCTCCTTTCTGGTCTGTTAATCCTCTTCTTCCAAAGCAAACGTGGTTGCAGGGTTTGGTTCTGCACAAGCTCTGGTGTCATTCACAGCTTATGCAGTAACATCCAAGTGTGAAAGCCAAGAGGAGCTTGCAGTCTGAGCCACTGCAGATGCCAGGGCAAGGACACCAGTCTTGCTGGCAGCGACAAGCAGGCATGAAGCCAAAGGGGGGGGGGGAGCAGCCTTTGCCACAGCCAGGCTGCTCCTGGAAACCAGGAGATTTGGGTCTGCCAGGGGGACGGAACAAGAAATCTACTCACTTCTGGGAAGCTGCTCATGTTGACTACAAGGAGCTGCGCAGAGTGTTGGGAGATTTGTGCAAGCTGGTTTAATGGAAATTTCCCGTCTTTGGTGGTAACCGTGATAGAATCGAGAGCCCCTGAAATGAGAAACACGACGGTAGCGAAACCCTTTCGGAGTCTGGCTCAGGTGTTATCATTCCTCCTCTCTTTATAATTATGGTCTGCTGTTTTTATTACATTTTATTACGTTTATCCATATAGTTTTGGGATCAACCTGGAAAGCTCTTGATCTTTGGGCGCTTCTAAAAAAAATATACTGAAGTAAAAACATCCGAGTGCATTGCAAGTGGCTGCCTCCAGAATTATCCGATGCCTGTTAGAAATCCGCCAGTCTGTTCCCATTCCCTGGTTCTTTCAGGCAGAAGAGAATGTTCTCTTTCATTACCTCCTAAACCGTAGTCTAGTGAGACCTGAGTTAAAGCCAGGCAAAAAAAAAAAGCAGAGTTTTAAGCAGCATATTTTTAAATTTGATATGGCAAGAAAATAGCAAATGAGTTGGAGCAGCGGCCCAAAAGCTGCAGAACATCACTCACCTGGGTTGGTTCTGATGCTCAAGGTTTTGTTGAAATTTTCCTGCAGGGTTTTGACCACTGAGTTCATTTCTTCATTTACTTCTTCTAGGTTGATGATATCTTCCACCAAAGAGGTGTTGATGTTCACACGGACCTGACCTTTCCCTTTAGCTGCGGAGAGCAGAACCAAGGCACGCTGGTTACTCAGGACTTCTTCTGGACCTGCTTCAGGAGCACCGTTGAGGTAGGCCGTCTGTTCCACGTAGTCACCTCTGCTAACCCCATCCAACCCTCTTATTATCACTCTCTGACCCTGGGCTGCAAAGCCCTAAAGATCTGGATTGCCTTTCAGGAGAGATTCTCAAACATCCAGGTCATGATTGTTCCAAAGAGGCTTTTCCAAAAGGTAACTGGACTTTCTTGGGGTTTTTTTTTTCTTGAAAATGTTTTACTTCTCATCTAAGAGGAACTGAAGAAGCTTCTTGGATGAGAGGCAAAATGTTTTCAAGGAGGAAAAAAGACAAGAAAATCCAGTTGCCTTTTGGAAAAGCACCTTTGGGACTTTGAGGATGGAGCATTTCAGCCCTTGGATCGTTCCAGCTGTTCTCCCTTTGATGTACCACAGCAACTTAATCTGAAGTAATACGAGTGTCGGTGATGGGATGTATGGGTTATAGGATCAAGAATAGAGCGGCTTTAGTCTCGACGTGTTTTCCTCCTCTGTTGGAGACGGTGAGCCACCCAATTCAGCAGGCCTAAAGAGGCGGGGAAGGGGGGGCTGGAGGTGGTGGTCTCAAGGGGCCCTTCCGCCTCCTTGACCTTTGACACCCACAGCGTTCCTCACCTTTAGCCTTCTTCGTGGCCAGGGTCCTGACTTGTGGGGTCTCAAGGGCCCAGCCCTCCCAGGAGCCCAGCAGCAGGAGGGGCCTGGGCTTTGGGGGGGCTTGCCAAGGGGGCCCACAGAGCAGGGCAGGCAACCTCCGGAGACCTCGGAGGGGCCCGGCCATGGCGCCGCCGGTGCCCACCTGGAAAAGAGAGCAGAGCTTTGGTTAGTCCTTGTTAGTCTGAGCCCCGTTGCTCACTTAGGGGCTGCTGCCCCACTCCTGAGGAAGAGCGTGACGGGGGGGGGGACGTATTAGTATTAATAGCAATCCAGCTTGGCTTGCTTGGAGGTCAGGACCCCCGGGGGGGGGGCTTCCCTGCGAACCTGCCTCCCACCCAAGTTGAATTTCTATTATTATTATTATTAATAATAATAATAATAATAATAATAATAATAATAATATTTTAGTGTACCAATAATAACCTGGGGGGAGGAGAGCACAGATCCCCCACCCGCTTTGGAAGCGGATTAAATCGATACTTGCCAAAAACCGGGTTCTCTCCTTCTTCCGGGCCCGCCCACCGGACTCCCGGGACACGCCCCCCTTCGGGACACGCCCCCTCGGTGCCTCTCGCTCTCTCCCCTCCCCCCCCGACTATCCCGTTTCCTCGCCTCAGCGCAGCAAGCGGAGAGAGGCGGCGGGGCCGTCGCGCGGCTGTGACGTCATTCCTCCCGCGCGGCGGCGGCGGCTGACGTCAGCGTCCCTCGCCCCTCGCCTCTTGGCGCGGAGGAGTGACGCGCAAGTGGCCCTCCCGGGTGAGGCGCGGAGGAGGAGGAGAGGGGGGCGCACTCTGCACGTGCCCAGAGGCGCGGGGCCTCCGCTGACCGATCTCCACCGCTGTCCCCCTCGCTGGGCTCCTTCGGGCGGGGGCGGCGACCCGGGCGGCCCGTTTGGCTGTCGGGGGCCCGGATGGCGGGCGCGGGCCGAGCCCCTCCGCCCAGCCTGCGCCTGGAGAACGCCTCGCTGCTGTCCGAGGGGGCCCTGCAGGACGGGCACCGCCTCTGGATCGGCAACCTCGACCCCAAGATCACCGAGTGAGTCCGCCGGGCGGGCGGGGGCGCAGCGGGCGAGGGGCGAGGCGGCCCCTCCCGCCGGGCAGCCGGATCTCCCCGGGGTCGAGCTCAGCCGCGTTCCCAAGACCGTGTTTGGCAAGACGGGTGTTCCCTCCCCTCCCCGGCCAAGAGACACCCCCCCCCCTCGCTTCCCCTCCTCGGGCTGCTCTGCTTATGGGCCTCTGCCCCTCGATCAGGACCCTCGGGGGGGGTGTCCGTTTCTGAGCCCCCTTCTCTGCCTTGGAGGGCTGGCCTTTGTCCCCTCCATGCGGACCCGGGCAGCCCCCTCCCCGTCTCTAAGGCTGCAGCTGCCTGTGCGAACCTCCCCCTCCCCCCCCCGCTCTGTTTCTGGTGGCATCAAAGGCGAAGTGGGTGCGCGTTTGACATTCCCTTGGCCTCCCGTGATTAGTGCATTTAAATTGCCTGCTAACGTGTTTGAGCCCCTTGAAGTGGGGCAATTAAACACCAGAGAGGAAGAGGAGGAGGAGGAGGAGGCGGCGAGCTTGATTGCCAGGAGGGAGATTAGCTGGCGGGGTTGGGGCAACCGTTTTCCCTCCCTCCCCCCTCCCCACTTTGCCAAACAATCTCCGATTTATGCATTCCAAGTGGCTGTCTTGTCTTATCTCCCCGATATTGTCTGCCTCTCAGCTGTGGAAGCAATTTTTGCCCGGCTCCGTCTTCTTCTCCCGGCGGCAAGTGCTCTTTTTTGTTCCAAGTGCTCTTCCTTTCAGCTGGGCACGGTCCTAATCGCGCCTCTAAGTGGGAATCCGTCATTAATGCCCTCTTGACGAGGATTCATTCAGGGCTGCGCTAACCGGCCTCTTCTCTGTTTTGCATTAATTACCATTTTTTGGCCCAGTGTTTGTATTGCGGAGGCTTCTGGGGGTTGAGCAATTTGTGGCGGCTGCTCAGCTGACAGGCGCTCGCTGAGGAGGCTTTTCAGCACATGAATTTGTGTTGTGAAGTTTTTGGAAGTTAAAAGCATCTCTTGAGCAGAAGCCTACAGACGGGGCCAGTTGGATTGGCAGGCTTGGGAATCTGTCCCAAAAACAGGCATTTTATGGATCAGTGTGCCGGCTATTGCAACAGTCGTTTAGAATTTTAGGTTCTGGGAAATGCTGTGCCATCTGATAAAGCCACGAAAAGGTCTCCCAACCAGGTGCAAAATGGAACACTTGGCGCCAAACTCATTTAATTTATGTTTTATGCCACAACAGAGTTTATTATATCCCTCCTGCGTTCTGCAGTGTGCATTCTGGCTCACTTTTACTTTTGTGAGTTTCAGCTTGATTCCATGTACCTGTCTTTCAGGTGAGAATTCAGTCCAGCCGTGATAAAGCCTGTTTGCATTGCAACCGTAAGGGAAGCGAGTGGGGCCTCTTTTGCAGGCGAGAGGCCTCTCCGCCTCTCGCTTCAAGATCCACCCCGAGGAATTGTCCCGGCCTAAATGGCTTTAGCATGTGCCTGGGACCATTCCCACATCCTCAGACGAGCATTGTTTGAAGCAACCTTCAACTCGGTGTTTGAATAGCGCTCAGGGTGCCAGGAGGAAAACTGGCGGAAAAGGAAACGGGACTTGGACAGATTGTCTTGCATTTTTGGATGGCAGGAAGTAGGAACGGGGCCTACTCTCCTTCCTCTGCCTGGGGCTTCTGGTCCCAGGTACCCCATCAAAATAGCTCTGGCAATTTTCAGCAGCCCGGCTTCCTGTTCCCTGTCTGTAATGCAGCTCCCTCGTTACTCAGAAACTATTTTAGCACTTTGTAAGTAACGGTCGACCATATCGGAAGTAAAGAATTGGGCAGAGAGAGGAATTTGTAGAAGCAAAAACTTACAGGTAGCTCCTTATCAACAAAGCAAGTTCTGTGCAAATTCTTACTCCCTTCAATATGACTTGAAATTCAGATGACAGCCATGGCTGTTTTGTTGATTATCTGTCTGGCATGAGAATTTGCCCTAAATAATATTCTTATTCTTTCCTTGAGCATCCTGGAGCTGAGTGTCATAGGTTCCACAATAGGCATCTCTGTGGGGGGAGACTGTCATATATTATCCAAAGATTCAAACTCCTGTCTGTCATTTCTTTTTCTTTAGACTCCAGATAAGTTCATCTTGTAATGGAAGAAAGTCAGAGCTTGTAAAAATGGGCTTGGCAAAGGGAGCGAAGAAAGATGCCAGGGACGTTCTTAACTGCGCCTACCAGAATCCTGCCTCCACCAACTCTGGGGACTAACTGGCTCATTACCTGCCATTTGGGCTGACGTGAAATCATTTCCCTGCCTTTCCTCTGGCCTGGAATTTAAGCAGGGAGATTTGGAAGCTCCTGCTTCCTTGCAGAGACAGCGCAGGGAAAGCCCCAGGTTGAGTTCGGAGGAATTTCAGGCTGATGAGCCCAGTCCTGCCAAACAGGCCACAAGGTTGCCAAAGGAAATCTAGTCAGATTCCTCAAGGCAAGTTGCTCAGTGCTTTTCGTTTAGAGAACAGGATGAGCTCCGGCCATTTGGGACTAAGGAAAACAAGCACATTTGCCAAAGAGAGGAGATAATTGGGGGGGGGGGGCAGGAGGCAGAGGGAGAATGGGGGCGTTTTTATGCTTCTAACAATAGCTAATAAATCTTGAGATGACTTTCAACATTGTATGGAATATCTTTGTGGCTCAAAATGTTTATCGGGTTATTGTAGGGATGACACCCCCAAATTAGCTACCATGTAAGGATAAATTGTAGAAAGAAGAGTATTATGATCTAACTGTAGAGAGAGAGCTTAAGTAACTGTACTTATAATTGCCCTGAAGAATATCAGAAGCCATTTCTTTTGTGCCTTTTTTTCTTAAACTCTTTTCCCTCATTTTTTGCTTATGTGTGTGTGTAAAACAGATTAGCTGCCATATGGTCGTGGCAGGAACTTTCCTCTATCAGTTTGCAAAAGTTTGCATGAGTCAAGCTGAACCAGTTTCTCTCCCCCACCCACCCACCCACCCACCCTCCGTTCCTGGAAAATGTCTGTGACTACCTGCTTTGGGAGACTGCTTCAATTCCTGGAGTTTTCTCAGTCATTTCAAGGAAATGGCTGCGTTGCTGGGAACCCACAGGAAGAGGTACAGCTGGCATGGGAAGCTGCAGATTCCCTTCACTCCCCAAAGGTCTCCAATGACCCCATATTGGCCCTACAATATTCCATTTGGCCACCTGACCCTGGATGTCAGCTTTTGGCCACGGTCCTGAAATGCCTTCCAGCAAAAAAAAAAAAAAAAAAAGGAACAAACACTGTTTTTCTTCCTCTTTACCTTTTTGTTTACAATTTGTGGAGTGTTCACCCCTTTACCCTCTCTTCCAGATATCACCTTCTCAAACTCCTGCAGAAGTTTGGCAAAGTGAAGCAGTTTGACTTCCTCTTCCATAAGTCAGGGGTCCTGGAAGGGCAGCCCAGGGGCTACTGCTTTGTGAACTTTGAGACCAAGCAGGTAGGTCGAACCTTTGGTTAATTCAGGCCTTCAGCTGCCTCCTCCTCCTCCTCCTCAATATTCCATTTGCTCTGCTTGGCTGGGGACTCAAGTGGCTTTTGTCCCCTCACCCGTTTCCAAAAGTTTTTGTAGGGAGCAGAAGGGCTAAAACCAGGAATTATGGAAGGGTTGGGAAGGCAAGGGGATGCTGGCTGTCTTCTTGGTCTGCTACTACTCGCTTGCTCAAAGCAGCATCCTGCGTTTGATGCCTCCTGCAGGCTCCAGCCCATTTAGGTCCATAACTGTCTTTGAAAACATGACAAAATCTGACACTGAACTGTACTGAAAAGCCAGAGCTTTTCTCTCTGCTAAGTCTTTTTCTTCTACAGGAAGCGGAACAGGCCATCCATTGCCTCAACGGGAAGCTGGCACTCTCCAAGAAGCTGGTAGTGCGGTGGGCCCACGCCCAGGTCAAGGTAAGCTGCTCCCCGTCTCTGCTGGTGTCTTCCCCCAGAAGACTGATGTCCTTCACATCTTTGTGAAGTTGGTTGGGCTGCACAACAACAGAACAGAATGTTATTCTGTTGGAAGGGACCTCGGAGGTCTTCTGACCCAGGTCCAATCCCTGCCAAAGCAGGAGACCCTCTACCATCCCGACTGTCCAGTCTCTTCTTGAAAACCTCCAGTGATGGAGTACCTACAACTTCCACTGTAGGCCAGCCGTCCTCCTGATTGATTGTTCTCGCTGTCAGGAAATTTCTCCTTACTTCTAAGTTGTTTCTCTCCTTGATTGGTTTACCTTCCTGTCCACCCCACAGTCTTCAGGAAGGCTGCCTGAGGCCAGTTCCACACAGCCACAGAGGCAAAGCCCTGTCAGAATCAACCTCTGGGCTTAGCCAATATTACTTGATCTCCCGTGTGTTCATTGAGGTTCCATCGTTACTAAAAATGGCCCATTGGTGCCACCGTCTGAAGGGCCAAAAGGACATTCTTGCTGTGGCTGGGGGGTAATCTCTGCTCTTTCTTCCCCCCCCTCCCTGCCAGAGGTATGACCAGAATAAGAACGAGAAGACCCTTCCCATCAGTCTGGAGCCGTCTTCCAGCACAGAGAGTCCCCAGTCCAACCTGAGGTAAGATCGGCCTCCAATTGTAGGAGGTGGGATTGTCCTTTGGACTCATCTAGAACAGACAGGACCCCGAAGAGCAGAAAAGGGGTTTATTGTTCCGGGACATTCTCCAGCCCAACGTCCGGTTTCCCGCAGTTTAAAATAATTTTCTCTTGAAGAGGCTGCAAGCTTTATGGCTAAACAGGGAGAGGACCATGAGTTTCTCCCAGCATCCTGACAACCTCGATCTGCTGAATGAAGAGCACCTCTTGGGGAGTGAGCCAAGCCAGCACATGTGGGGATTGCGCGATTAAAGAAAAGGGACCGGCAGGAGGGTGTGGCTTGAACCCCAGGGACAGCCCGGGGGGGGGGAGCTCCTGCATGCACTAAACGGGCCGACGTCTCAGTCTCCTCTGTTATTCACTCTGCAGCGTCAGCACAAAAATCAAAGCCATTGAAACCAAGCTGAAAATGATGTCAGAGAATCCCGACGCCGAGTTCCCACCGGCAGCCCCTTACGTCTACTTCAAGGCCCCCGAGAAAAAGCGGACTGGCCCCTACTCCAGAGCGGCTTGGAAGTCCAAGAGATGATGAGCGGGTGCGGTCAGCAGCGTCCTCTGCCGCTCCGGGCAGGTGGGAGGTCGGCTAGGAGGAAGCAGGATTGGCACGGCCCCATCCTGGCCTTCTGTGGGACTGCTTGGATTCCTCCTCTTCACACGTGGACGTCAACGCTCTTCCGAGGAGATCAACTGTAATGCCGCCCATAAAACTGTATAGAACATCTCCAACAAACTCAACTGGTTGAGTAATAAAACCAGATTTTTTTTCCCCCCGTGTGGCTAGCTAGATCCAGCTCCAAAGTGCAAGATGTGTGTGTGTGTGTGTTTCAATATGTTTTTGCCACTTCAGTATTTGTTCTGACCTGAAGATGATAAAAAGTCCTGATGTACTGATGGTCTGCCCAGAATATTATCTCTGTCCAGTAGCGGAACGTGATTTGGGTTGCCTGATCTTTCCAGCAAGAGGAAATTGGGGTTTCTTGCGCCTTGAAACCTGGGAAATCCCGAAAGGGGGCAATGAGAATAGTAATGTTTGTCTGTGAGTAACAGCTGCATTGAACACATCTGGGCATCAGTGTATCCATTCTTTTTTTTTTTTTTTTTTAAAAAGGAACATCACAGGAATAAATTTTAGCCCACTTTTAAAAATGCACCTTGTTGTTAAACTTGGATCATTTATCGGAGTCTCTAACTTCAGAACTGGCAAATTAGCCATCCGCATTTGGGTGATTTTTTAAAAAACAAAATTATATATAATTTAGCATGGAGAGGAGCAGCCAAGGAACTGGAGTGGAGAAGTAGTGAAAAGGTCTCCCTTAGGAGCAGCCAGGGACAGAGGGAGCAGGCTGGGAGCTCTTGGGGTGAGGAGGCAGCTGGAGATGGGGGCCAAACGGAGAGAAGCCTCCACATACAAGTAATGAAAGAAGAGACACCCCTGATTCTATGTTTCATGAGCCATTGAGGGAATTTCTGGCGAGGTAGAGAAGAAGGGGGCGGACGGGAGGAACCAGACACCCCCTCCCCTGCCCAAAACCTTGTGCAGCCTCTGAGAAGACAGTGCCTGAACAATTTGGTAGGCATTTTACTTTTTCCTTACGGCAAGGAATGTTTTTTAATGGGCATCTTCGCCCTTCCCCAAAAGGCACGGAGTGTTCTATTCACAAAGGGGGGAGGGGGGGGCTCCCAGACTTCAACCCTGGCTGGACAGGATGGGAAGGAGGCCTGAAGAAGTCCTGGGCTAAATTTGAAGTCCTGCAGCAACTCAGGAAGGCGGTCTCTGCCCTGTGGAGAAGCAGAGTGGCCTCCCCTTCTTTCCCTGCCCTGCCCCAATTGGGGGGGGGGGCAGATTATCCATCTGGGGGCCTCTTCATCTCCAGTCACTTCCTCCAAACTGGCTTCAGGGAAAGCCACAGCTTTCTGGAGACGGGCAACCTGTTGGATTGTCACCTGTGAATGGAGGAGTCCCGGCAGGATTGTCCCCAGGCCAGGGGCTTCTACCTGGGAGGTGAATGCTAGAGGGCTTAGCCCAAGTCCCTCTGGCCTTATAGTCTGTTTCTCAGGCCCTGGAAAGAACTCTGCACGCCCTCAGGGGCAGGCTGTCCTCTGGTTGGGTCTCTGTTGGGAAGGTGCAGGGGAGAAACAGGCCGAGCCTCCCTATCGCCTGAGCCTCCCTATCGCCTTGCGTGCTCCGGCCTCGCCTTCCTCCCCGCCCCATTTAGCCGCAAGCAAGGAAGGAGGAACTTGGGGGGGGGGAATCGTCCCAGGCAAAGGGGGGAAGGAGGAAAAAGGCCTCTCCAGCAGCTGTGAGTCGCGTCTGGGCGGCTGCTGCTGCTGCTGCAGAGAGGAGCTCCTTATGGTGCCCCCATGTTCTGGAAGAACGAGCCCCCGGGCGAGCAGCCACCGGCTGAGGTGAGGCCGAGCCTGGAAAGCAGGCGGGGTGGAGGAGAAGGGGGAGGCGGTGGGAGAGGGGAAGAGAGGAGACCTGTCCCAGCATGGCAGGGGAGAAACGGGCTGCCCTGCTCTTTGGAGAACTGGGTCCCTCCGCTTGGGGAGGGGGAGGCCCGGGGGATCTTGTTGGTCTAGCCTGGGGGGGGGAATCTCGTAGCTGGGAGCCCCCCTGCCCTGCCCTGCATTTTTCCCCAGGCAGGAGGGAGAGTGCAGGTCTGGTCCGTTGGGCAGGGTGTGCCTGGATGTTCCTTCTTTTGGAGAGGGGAGGGGGCCTTCCAGAGGATGAGGTCCCCAGGTCCCCCCTTTTCCAGGTATCCCTTGCTGCTGGTGGGGGGGCTGGTGGTTGTTGAGTGCCAGGAAATTGGGGGGGGGGGGGGGGGGGGGGGGGGGGGGGGGGGGGGGGGGGGGGGGGGGGGGGGGGGGGGGGGGTCCCTCTTCCCGTCGCTGGAGGGAGAGCAAGGGCAGCGCGAGGGGCGCAGGAGAGGCTGGCGTGCCGTCCTGGCCCCCCTAGCCCCCCACCAGCCAGGCTGATTGCCAGGTGCGCGCGCCTCTCCGGCCCGGCGGCGGCGGCGGCGGGGCTAAATGCAGGTGCTTCGGGGCGGCGACTTGGGGAAGCAGGAGGAGGAGGAGGAGGCGGAGGCGCGGCTGGTGCCGCTGCGGTTCTGGCTGGGCAGAGCGAGCGGGCGCGCTGCGGCTGCCTCCGGAGCCGCTGCCCGAGGTGCCCCCCTCCCCCCGCGCCTCTCCTCCCCCGCCCGCCCCGCCCGCCGCCACCGCCGGCTGGTTCAGACGCGCCGCGCTTTCCGCCTCGCCCGCCGCGCGTCTCTGGACGCCGAGCCCATGGCCGCTCGCAAGGTGGGCTTCGTCGTCCGGACGGGGCGGCTGTAGGTGGGGGGCTGGAGCCCCCCGGACGGAGCCCGCCGCCCCCCGGCTGCCCCGCCGCCGCTCTCCCCCGCCATGGTAAGCCTCCGACGGGGCGGACGGGGCCGGGCTGTCGGCGGGCCGTGTGTGTGGGGGGGGGGGATCTCCGGGGCTGACCCGCCGCTCTCTCCGGCTCCCGCAGGCCCAGCCCGACGGGGAGGCTCTGGCCGGCGCCCTGGAGAAAGAGGAGGCGCGCTCGGGCGCCAGCACCCCCTCCACGCCCTCCGTCTGCTCGCCGCCCTCCTCCGCCGCGTCCTCGCTGCCGCCGGGGGCCAAGAGCCTCTGCTCCAGCTGCGGCCTGGAGATCGTGGACCGCTACCTGCTGAAGGTAAGGCGCGGGCTGGGGACGGCCGGGCCGGGCCGGGCCTCGCCTAGCGCGCTTCTCCCTCGCCCGCAGGTGAACAACCTGACCTGGCACGCGCGATGCCTGGAGTGCTCGGTCTGCCGGACGCCGCTCCGCCAGCAGAGCAGCTGCTACGTCAAGAACCAGGAGATCTTCTGCAAGGTGGACTACTTCAGGTAGGCGGGCGGCAGCGCGGGGTCCCCCCACCCCGAAAGTCGACGGCCGAGCCGGCTTCTCCCGCTTGGACGGGGCCGAGCAGAGCAGGCCCCGGCCGTCCGATTTGCTCCGGATGGAGCCCCCTGTTCGCCTCCTTCCGCGAGCTCCGCCGCCGACCGTGGGAAAGGAGCCGAGCCGAGCCGAGAGCAGCCTCTCTCCCTGGGGACGGCCGCTGCGGGCCAAGCGGAAGGCGCGCCGAGCTGGGGGTGGGGGGGCTGCTAAGCGTAACCGCTGCCCGGGAAGGGACGGAAGAGCCCCGAAGAAAAGCCAGGCGCAGCGGCGGCCAGCGCTGCCCCTCGCCCCGCGGCCGAGACCCCCGAAACACCCGCGATCCGGCGGGCCCTTCCGATCGTGTCTGCGGCGGGGCAAAAAAGTCAGCGCGGGGGGAGGGGATCTTAATTGCGGTGCCGGCAATCTCCTCCCACAGCGGTGACTGGAGGCCGATTCCAGGACCCCAGCGCCCCCCCCCGGTCTTTCCCCCCTCGCTCCGCGTCTGGCTCTCTGCCTCGGAGCCCTGGAAGTGGCAGCGGGCCCTTTGAACGCCTGGCCGTCGCCCTCCCCAAAGTCCGGAGCTTGAGCGGCCCGGCCCGGCTGGAGCCAAAAGAGCGCATCGCTTTGGCGCTCAGAGCCCCGATGGGCCGGGAGACGCGCTGCCCATGGCCGCCTTGGGGACCGCCCGCCGGCCGACCTGCGGGTCGATCAAGAGGGGAGGCGGGCGAAGGGATCCTTGGGCTTTTCGGGGGAGCTCAGCCAGGCCCCCAAAATCCCCGGGGCCCTCGAGGAGGGTGGGATGGGCGAAACGCAGCGCGGCTTTCCTTCCCGCCTCCTCTCCGCGTGTTTAGGAAGGACCCAGGTCTGTCCGACGCCTTTCCGAAGAAGTTTCGTTCGGAAGATTCGGAAGGAATCCGGATTCGTTGGGGATCCCGTCCTCTGGCCCCTGCCGCCTTCTGCCCTTCTCTCCCGCCGGTCGCCCTGCGGCGGCGAACCCGTTTTCCCCGATCCAGGAGTGGTTAAAGTTGCGCGCTTCGCCGCCGGGAGACGCGCCTCTCTTCGCGCGCTCGGAAGGAAGGGAGCGAAAGGCGGCTTTGGAAAGCCGGTTCCTACGGAGGGGCCGGCCTGGCTGCAGCGGCGAGGCAGGCGCGACTCCCCCTCGGTCATCATTGCCCCCAAGTTCCTCGGTAGTTCTTCGACGGGCCGTTTTGTTCGGCGAACCGCTTTATTTCGTTGAATTCCGACTGGCGGAATTCCGTCGGCTCCTCTCCTCTCTCGCTCGGCAGGCGAGGCCGCTTCGGGGTTCCTGGGCGCCCCCTCTCCGCTCCTGAGAAAAGACCACCTTGGGGTCAAGCGCGTTGAATCCCGCGGGAAGCGTCCGGCCGGGAAGGGGCAGGCCGGAGCTGTGGGACCTTTGAGTCAATTCGGATCGGAATTCGCCCTGGGGACGGCTCGGACCTGAACCGCCGCTCTCCGGCTAGGAAGCTCCGTTCCCCCATTTCTAAACTGGACGGGGGGGGTCTACCTTTTCCTCCCAGCTCGGCCTTTTTTCCTGGGGGAGCGGCTCCTTTCCGACGACGGAGGCGGGGGACGCGCGGCAGTCCTTCGTTGGCCATCGGGGTTTGGGGCGCCGGCGGGCGAAGGCGGTCGATCTGGAACGGGGTTCCCCAGAGATCCCCTCGGCGAAAGGGGTCCTTTCCACCTGGAGCCTTGAGCGAACCGGCGCAGCCTTGCGCGGCCCCTCGGCAGGTCGGGCCAGCTCCGAAAACCGCCTCGAGAAACCCCGGATTATAATTCCGCTCCGGGCGAGAGCTGCTTCCCCGGCCCGAAGGCAGCCGGGGCACGGAGGGCCGAGCGCTCCCGGCCGGCCCCGCCAAGAGCGGGAGGGCGACGGCCCTGCGGAGAGGACCTTGGGACCCCGTCCCGCCCAAGGCAAAGGGGCCGGCGGAGCGGAATCGGGGACATTGCCCGGCGATGATCCTCGGACCCTGCCGGCTTCCTGCCCGGGGAGCTTCAGCCTCGTGGGGACCCGGCCGCGGGATGGTGGGGAGCGCGCCGCGGAGGAGGAAAACGGCCTCGGTCGCGGCGTCCTTCGGGGCTGCCTGGCCGGCTGCTTCTGGAGTCGTTCGTCCCTTCTCCGCCTCTCCCGGAGCCCCGAAGGGCTCGAGTGAAGGTGCCGAACGTGTCCCGGGTGATCCTGGTTAGGCCTGCCTGAGGGTGACACCCGGAGAGGAGCCGGTCTGGGGCCAGTGCCGGCCTGGGGCCCTCAACCAAGGTGCCGCCTGGGAAACCCCGTGGGAGAAGCAGGGTCCCCACAAGGGCCTCCCCCCCCCCTGCTCTCGACCCTCTTGACCGGCCCCGCCGACCGCTTCCCGGCCGTCCCTCGCCGTCTCTAAGCCAGGGGCGCCAAGCGTTGGGGGCAAAACCCGACTCCGTCTCAAAACGTGGTGGGGATGCTGGTCTCTCTTCTCCCAGCCTTCTCTGGGTCAGGCCCGGCTGAGCCTCTGCCGTCGCCCTGCCTTCCTGGCAGGCCGGGCTTTCCTCCAGGTACCCTCTCTCCAGATGGAAAGGCTCCGCCGCGCTCTGCAGAAAAGGAGCTCGCGGCGTTAATGGCGAGGGCGCGCCTAGATTTTATTTCTAATGTTTAGCAGTCCCCCTGAATCGTTATCTCCAACAATGCACCTCTGTTTCCCCCGAATTTGAGGGTTTTTCCAGTTTCAGGTTTTTAATTCCTGACTCACATAAACAATGGAAAAGGAAAGTGAAAATGCACAAGAGGAGGAACATGCCACCCGTCGCCTTGTTTTTTTGCATGTTAACATGGGTGATGGAGGATTAATTCTTGGGCTAGATTTCTGAAATTGGAGGACACCTTCCCGATGGCCCTTGGAAGACCGAGGGAGCTTAGCAAAATTGCAGGACTCTGGTTCTGGACGGTAACGACGGTGGGGGTGGTCTTGGGGATGCCGCAATTTGGTCAATGAAATCAAATTATTAGGTTAGGAGCACAGACGTCTGGTTCCTCAGCATAGATGGCACGGAAGGTCTGTTCGCTGGGCCCGTCCTTCCTTCGAGGTTTCAGCTTCACAAAATTGTCCTTAGAATTGAGGAAGGGGCTTCTTAGCCCTCCCCCCTCACTTTTGCTTGATTTCTTGAGCACCTGCTTTGAATGAATCGACCCTTGCTGATTTTGATCAGGTTTGTTATGTCTTTGGAAATCAATTTATAATTATGAGATTTGGACTGCTGAGATATAACTTGGCACGGCTCTGGTGGTTTCTAGAAATTTTGGGTAATATTTTTTGTCTGGGGAAAATTAGTTTCTGGAAGACTTTGGAATGCAGAATATCTGTCTGTGTTTTGGCTGAGGTGTTCAGCCAGTTGTGGATTTACAGGGTAGTTCTGTGCAAGGCTATTAATCGAGGACTACAACAGACATCAGGGGAAAGCAGTTGTACTTGTGGACAGACATGCCCAGAGGATTTACCCTGTGGCCACTATCCTGCAGTTATTCATGGAGACCCATTTGGGACAGTGGAATTTCTTCTTAGTACAGTAGATTTCGGTTTATTATTCACGGTGTAGTCAATTGACATTTCCTTGTTAGTTTTTTTATATTCACATTTTTCAGAAAGAAAGCAAAAGAAGGAAATTCTTTCCGTTGTGTTAAAGATAATTTCCAGCATTAGACAGATGGATGTTGGCAACGCAGGCAGAGAGGGGAGAAAGATTCATTCAAGGCTGCTTGGAGGATCTACAATTCGTGAGATAGAAAAGCTACACGGAAGCGGTTTTGTGGTCTGCCAGAGATTTTAGTGCAAATATCATCAGTCATTCCTCTACCTTATTCAGTTATTCGGTTATTCAGTTATAATAGAATCCAACAAATCCTTTCAGTTATAGCACAGCTGCATAAAGCAGAGGCGGTGGGGACAGAGCGTGCCTTAGTTTCTTTTAAAAACTGAAACTGCTTTTACTCTGGAAGGCCTCAGAAGACTTTCGGGTCCCAGCCATTTTTGGGGAAAAAAACACCTTCCTTTTTATCCCAGCTTCTTCCACGCTAAGTCCTGGCGTTCAAAACAGGTTCTAGAGGCTTTTGTTTAAATTAAACGCATCCTGATTTCGCCTGGTGCCAAATTTAAGTGCAGAGCACTAATTTAAACCTGAAAGCAGGACTGTTTCTCTATTGTTGTCTGGCTGCATCTGCAGAGCGAACGCTGCAGGAGAATTTCAGGGCCGGCAGTTAGGCTGTGTGAGATCGGTGGCCCCTCGCCCTGGATCTGTTGCCCTTCCACCTTGTTTGGGCTGAGAGAATGGATCCCGAGGCTTCTTTAGAGGTCTAATAACTAGGATATTCGCCCTGTCCCATTTTAAGAAAAACTCAATAATAAGCCATCTGCTTACTGTGTCATATTTACTTTGGCTGCTTTAGCGTCTGCCAGGTTTTATTTTGTTCTTCTTGTCCTTGATGATTCTTCAAAGTGCTTTGAGCTTTTTTTATTTTTAGCGTGCTTTAAATGACCGTGCCCATACAGGACAAGTTTTACAAAAATAGAAATTTTTTGTTAAATTTTTGGGAAAATGTGTTAGTCTAAATTGCCGTTAAAAAAGAGAAACAGTCTTTGGAAAGGCACGTCTCTGGGTGTGAAGCAGAGATTGCAGAAAGACATAATTAAGGAATGGTATTGGGTAAAAATGCCCGCTGTAATGAATATCAGCTATAATCAATGTGCTGAAATCTATTAATTGGAAACCTTGGCAACTTCTAGTTGAGATATGAATACGGAGTAAGATAGGTGGTATAAATCCAGGAAAAAAATCTTCTGTCTTTGATGCAGTCTGAAAGAGCAGCTATTTTGTTGACAAAGATCTGGGCTTTTCCCAAAGCAGGAATGAAAAATTAATTATCATGGCCCTTTGTTTGTGCAGGCATCTAAACCAAGCATCCCATCATTGGTTCACTACATTCCCCATATGCAAGAAATTAGACATTGGTCCCTCCCTTTTTTTGCCTCCATCCCCCACCTCCAAAGAGAAATTAAAAATTAAAAAACCACTGGCATTGGGTCTGCTCTGGCACAAAACCCTTTTAATCTGTGGGGTTTTAAAAAAATTTCTGTATCCCTTGGGCCAAAAGGATGGAGGATCGGATAGGTGCCAGCTCAGGTGACGTTCTCCAGAACCAATTTCAGTTGCTTGTTACTGACCGTGGTTTGGGGGCCTCGTGAGCTCTCCATCTCTCTCTTTTTGGTAAAAAAACAAACAAACAACGGGTGGCTTCCAGAAGCCAGGTGTACTTTTTTTGGAGCTGAATCTTGAGAACTTGAAGTCAGTTGTTTATTGTTAATTTCTCCAACGAGGACCGTCGGTCTGCTCCGCTCTGCTCTGGCTCCCCTTGTGCAGAGGCTCAGGAAGTTGGCTGGTGGAGGGGGAGTGTCAGAAGGTGGCTAGTCCTCAGCATCTCCTGCCCAGCCTCTCACGGCCGCCTGCGGCTGTGTGCGTTGCGCCTCCAAGCAGCCTGTGATCACTCCAAGAAGTGAGCCAAAGAATGTATTGTGCATACATTTTTCCCCCTCGGCTCTCTCCTTCACTCGAATCGAGACTCCTTCCAAGGAGGAGAGCATACAGAAAGCGAAGCCCCCCAGGGTGACTGGGATGTAGCAGAGGGAAGTCCTGAATAGGAGGGAAGCCATCTGCAAAGAAGGGGGGGAGGGGCTATTTCAGACTAGGGAACCCCTGCAAAATTTGGGGAAAAGGACAGAAGTAGAGAGGATAGACACCCCAGAGAAGAAGGTGAACGACCAGCTTTTATTCCTTTGATGCATTCTGCAAGGAAGTTGTTTAGCAACTAGAATCTTGTCTGCCGTCCTGTTTTAATGAAAGGGAATTTTGAACCAGGACTGAAATATTCCTCCTTGCCAAGAAAATAACTAGAGGACCCTATTTTGGGATCCTTGCAGCCTCCCTGTGATTTCAGCCCGTTTTATGACATGTGTTGTTTGGGGGGCAGTTTTAGCTAGCATGGCTGCTGCCCTCTCCTTAAAGTCGACCTTTGATAGCATAAAAGCACAATTCTCAAAACATCTGCTTTGAGACCAGCCCTTGAAGCGATCTGAGTCGATGGTGCAAGCTAGTATTTATCACCATGTCTGGGGAGGTCTCCCATTTGGGGTCCGAGAGTGCTGAGTTGCTGACGTTCTGCAGATCCTGCCATTTAGATTCCCCCAGGGGGGGATGGGGAGGATTTGGCATTTCTGCATTTGGGGCAGAAAGTTGGAAGACGAAAAACAAAATGACTCCGATTGTGGACAATCGTAGTCATTCGGCTTCTCCTCTCCCTTTTCAGTCGGTTTGGTACCAAATGTGCCCGCTGCGGGAGGCAAATCTACGCCAGCGACTGGGTGCGGAGGGCTCGGGGCAACGCCTACCACCTGGCCTGCTTTGCCTGCTTCTCTTGCAAGAGGCAGCTCTCCACCGGAGAAGAGTTTGGGCTGGTGGAGGAGAAGGTCCTGTGCCGGATTCACTACGACACCATGGTGGAGAACCTCAAGCGGGCAGCCGAGAACGGTAGGTGGCCCTCTCAACTCACCTTCCCTGGTGCGAGAGGAAAGAGATGGTGGCCCTGGTCTGGCCACAGAGCCTGACTGTGTAGCCTCCTCCATGCGGTCCTGAAGGTCTGAAGAACCTCCTCAAATCTCTCCTTCGCCCGCATCTGTTTGACTTAGGCCGAGTGTAAGATGCCTTTTTGAGCAGAAGGTTCTCCATCCATCCAACTTCTAGCCATCAAAGGTGCGAGGAAACCAGGATGGGCCAGGCTCTCTCTTAACACTTGGCAGAAATTCCCCCGCTTTTGATTTGGTGTCGCTTTCCTTCCTGGATGCTGGGCAGGTCTTTAGGGGCTGAAATATTTCAGTGTAAAATGCAGATTATAAAATAGCGACCAAAAGCCCTGTAACGTAACAGCCAGGAGAGGGATCCACTCAATTTCCCCCTGGTGCCTAGAGGCACAGTGGCCTTTGCTTACCACCACTGAATGTGATTCCATGTCTAAGCTAGCATATATCTTGGATTTATCTTGAATTGCTCTCTTTAAAAATCGCAGGCCAGACTTGGGTTCTCCATGAGTGTGGTTATTCGTAGGATGCCCCCAGTTCTCTTTTCCAGGTTTTCTTTCCCACGCCTTGACAAAGATGCGGAGAAAAGGCCAGGCCTGGCTCAGTTGACCTGACACAACTTTCCTCCTTCTTTTTATCAAACGAACGTGCACGGGATTCCCAAGAGACAGAACTTTGCTCAAGTGTTAAGAAGTTAAAAAAAAAAATCGAGATTTTTTTCCTCTCTCTTCTTGAGCAAATGCAAAAGAAAAAGAAAAAAAAAGAGGGGGGGGCAGAGAGAGAGGAAGAGGGTGCAATGGGCCCTCCTTGCCCAGCAGATGGAAACGATTTTCAGAAGGGGGGAAAGCGAAGAAGGAGGGGAAATCTGAAAATGAAAATAATCAATGTTTCTGTTTACAAGGTTTAAGCAAGGAGATGAAAACAAAATCAAAACAAGATGCCAAAGCGGGATGCGGTGGGAGGCTGGGAGGCTGAGCGCTGGCTTGTGGCGCATCCTTCTCCTGACCAGCCTGGCTTGGCAGCTGGCTAGGCGTGGATTTGGACCCGGGTTCAGAGGCCTTCTGGGTGGCCCCGAGAACGGGGTCTCCTTGACCTCCTGTCTGAGGAAGGAGAGGCAGAGGACCTACCTTGGAGGCCAGAAACGAAGGGGGTGGCAAGCAAGAGAGCAGAAGGGAAGCCCTCCAAGGTCTTCCAGCCCCAGAGAAGTTTCCACGAGTCCTTCAGGGCTGGTCTTTCTCCCCTCCTGAAGTTGGCAGAACCTCTAGGAGGCGTGCCTAGGAAGAGAGGGGCCTTCCCACCCGCAAAGATCAGCAGATCAATGGGTGCCTTTGGCCATCCTTTGGGGCTCTCTGTCTTGCATGGTCATCCCAGGTGGCCACCCAGGTCAACTTCTCTTCTGCTCCCCAACCCAGTCGGGCGGGCCTTCAAAGATGGCCGCTGTTTATTGGGCTTCGGCATCCCTCCCGCCAAAGCCCTGCAGCCTGGGTGGGTGGGAAACATGGCCCCCTCCCTTTATCTCCCTGGATGCCAGGAGTTCCCTGCAGGGCACCAGGTCAGCTTGGTGGGCAGGGATGGGCAGAGGCCAGGTGGCAGCTGAGCTTGTGGCCTGCACTCTTTCCTGCAGACCCCTGGGAGGGGACGCCAGTCAGCCCATCCGTCCTTCTGTCCGTCCGACGGAGCCTAAGCCTTCCTCTGGGACCTGCAAAGCGATTTTGCCTGCACGGGTCGTCCAGAGAAAGGAAAATAAACAGATGTTGCTGCGGCTGACTTCCATTAATCACCCCACAGCAAGGAGTCAGCTCGCTCAAGAAGAGAAGGAAAGAGAATTCCTTCAGCCTGGCCCAAGATAACCACCTCCCAGCCTCTTGAGAAGGCGAGGAACGTCTGAATGCAGCCGCCGGTGGGTTCCCACGCTGGTGGCTCTTTCTCTTACGCTGCCCAGCCCTGGAGTTTCTCCTTGCACTCCGAAGCCCATGGGGCTTAAAGGGACTGACTGATGCTGCAAGAACCCCCTTTCTTTGGGTCTGACACTGAGTGGGGTTTGGCCCCAAACTCGACGCAAGCACGGTGTTGCTGAAATCACATTCCTCATGCTCCCTTGCCTCTTGACGGATTTTATTTATTCAGTTTATCTTGCTATCCAGAGTGGCTTACAAGGCGATAAAAGCAGATGTATAAAAGGAGTTATAAATACAGGAACAGTTAAAAGGGAAGGGATTAAGTAGACTAAACAGAGTTGTAAATGCCGGAGTTGGCCTACAGAGCAATTTTCCCTGAGCAAGGGGACCTGAATGGCACCAGGAGAAGGGATGAAAGTCACCCACGTTGAATCCCAGCCCCAGAAATTCAGGGCCCAAAGAAAGATGTGTCGGTGGAGCCTCCAAGCACGCCTGAAGTCTACCTGTGCCAGGAGAGGTCCCTCTGAAAGGCTGGGAGGCTTTCCTCGTCTCTTTCTGCAGCAGTGCAGTTCAGCGGATGGGGGACTGGACCTCCTGTCCATAAGCCCCGGCTGGGAGATAAATCCGGCCCTGCCGAGTCTTTCCCCCCCTCCAAGGGTCTCCGCTCATCCCCCTTTCTCTTGCAGGGAACGGCATCACTTTGGAAGGGGCCGTCCCCTCCGAGCAAGACAGCCAGCCAAAGCCTGCCAAGCGAGCCCGGACCTCCTTCACGGCCGAGCAGCTGCAGGTAGGGAGAGGTCTGGGGGGTGGGAGGGCTGAGGAGTGGGGAGGATACCAGTTCCTGGGGAGGGGTCTCACCTTATACCTCTCCGCTCCCCCATGTAGGTCATGCAAGCCCAATTCGCTCAGGATAACAATCCAGACGCCCAGACTTTGCAAAAACTGGCAGACATGACTGGGCTCAGCAGGAGAGTTATTCAGGTGAGGGTTTGCTTGTATAACCCCCTCCCCCCTCCTGGCACTGATGATGTTACCTAGTTGGGTAATGAAACGTCTGCGGGAAAACCACCCAGCTCAGAGAGCACCAAGGGCCCCACATATCGGGGGGCCTACTTAGTCCAGCCGGTTCAGAAGCAGAGGTGGCTGCCAGCTCCTTGGTCCTCTACTTCTGGGGTATCTGGTCACTTACTTCTCCTGGCCGCCCTGATTTTGTGTGGGCTTCGTTTCCTCTGCAGCTTCCACCTCCCTGGAGGTGCTTCACGGAGGCAAAATAAGAATAATTGCTGGGGGTTTTTTCTTCCAACCGTGGGGCACCCCTCCTCCCTCTTTCTCCAGGTTTGGTTTCAGAACTGCAGAGCCCGGCACAAAAAACACACCCCTCAACACACGGTGCCGCCCTCGGGGGGCTCCCAGTCCCGCCTCCCTTCCGTGCTGCCGGAGGACCTCCACTACTCCCCGTTCAGCGGTCCAGAGCGGGCCAGGATGGTGACCCTCCACAGCTACATAGAGAGTAAGTGGAGGACAGGGAGGGGCGGGGGTAGTGCTGGCCAGCCTTTCGAGTCACTGCCGCGATTATTTTGCTGGCGGTGGAAAGGAGACCACACGGAGGAGAACAAGAGAAAAGAGGTGGAAGGTTAGAAGTTGAGGTTGTTGCCAGCCTGCTGCTTTGCCAAAATCTTGATTTTCTGCATCAAGGGGTCTCTTCTTGGGGAGGGGTGAGAGGGGCCCCCTTTTCCTGCCAGAGCAGAGGGTTGAAGGGCATTGGGGGCCAAACCTGAGCACCACAGTCCCCTCCCCCATGCAGGATGAGCCCCCAAAGGCAGGAGAAGCGATCAGCAAAAAGGAAGGAGCTTTAGTTGTGTCTGCAAACACACAAGGTAGCAGCTTTCCTTGAAGTGATAGCGAACAAGGTTTTCTGCACCCTTTTGTGTTTCTCTCTCCCTTTAAACCCACGCACTCCGTGGACAGCCCCCGGGTGGCTGGCAATCCAAGTGGTCATCTCTTCTTTGCAGGTCAGGTCCAGTGTGGACAAATGCACTGCCGCCTCCCCTACGGCACCCCCCCTGTGCACCTAAAAGCCGACATGGAAGGAGCGCTCTCCAGTAGAGGGGAGAAGGTAGGAAGGGGGGTCCGACGGTAACCAGGGCTGTTTCTGCAGCCCTCTGTGATGCTGAGGGGAGCCCCCACCCCGAGTCCCTGATCCAGAAGCATCCCCTTCAGAATTTGGGGTCCAGAAGTAAGTCTCCCCCTTTCCCAGTGGAGGGCAATTTCCTGCTCTCCTTCGCTTCCTTCCGGCTGCCTCTGACTCCGCTTGGCTCCCTGATCGGCTAAGAATGAAATCTGGGTCAGTTCACCTCATGCCTGGCTGCTTGTCTGGCCTTGCTGGTGGGAAGACCGAATGGGGAGGTGGGGAAGAGACACCTCTTCCGCCTTCTTGTCCTGATCTCCCAGACCCCACCTGTTCTGCCCCACGTTTGCTCCAAGTAGTCAGCCATGCCTGTCTGGCCATCAACCGGCTTGTTTAGGGCACGGAGGGTCAAGTGGGTCTCACTGGATGTCTTCAGCCCCCCAGCCCTGCCAGGGCCACCTTCCCAGTGGGGGCATCTCACATAATGCGCTTTGGGGAGGGAAGGCAGGTCCCCTTCTGGCCCCCACTTCTGTTCTCCTGCAATGCCTCCCAAGCTTCTCTCTGATTTCCCCGGCAGGTGATCTTGTTCCAGTATTGACTCCTCCCTTTCCTCGACTCCCGGGACTTGTGAGGCCACTGCTGCTTCATCTCTCCACCATTTCCTCCCTGGCCACCAAGGGACCTTCAGCCTGAGAACCCCCTCACGGTCTTCTCCGCCTGGGCTTCTAACCTGGATCTCGCTTGCCCTGGCTGTGGCCACCAGCCGCTGAGCATTCCCCGGTGCTGTTCTTCATCTGGTGGACGTGCTGGCTGGTGAAGACTCTGGGCAGGGCCTTCTCTGGGAGACCGAAGTAAGGATGTCTCTTGCCGTCTGCTCCAAGTGTAACCAACGCAAGGACAGAAGCTGTGCCGCCTGGGCTGAACCGTTCGAACGTGGAACGCTGTCGATCTTCAACCTAAGAATCAAGTCTACCGTACAGTCAACATTCAACCTTTCGATGGAAATGTGGACGGAAGGTGGAGACATTGCCCGTTTCAACAGAGGGGACCGTGGATCTTGTTCTGTCGATTCCTTTTCAACTCTTCAGGCTTTTGATTTTCCCTGTAAGCAACATCGGTCTGTTTGGGGGACCGGCAGGACTTTGCGGCCCTCAAACCAGAGGCTGGACCTGCCCTGAGGGGCGACCCTCCAAGCTAAACTCTCACGGATGCTTCTAATCCCATCGCCCAACAGCCGGTGGGAAAATGTCTGTCTCCCTAAATCTTGGGAGCAAAATCCAATGAATTAAGTCTCCAGCCTTTGCGCAGAGCTGAGAAAATGTTTTTAAAAACCTCTAGTGGCAACATCAAACTTTGGAAAGAAACTTGGGGGTGACAGAAAACGTGGGACTTTTTGCTGCCAGGACTGTGGAGAAAACTGGAACTTCTCTCTCTCTCTCCCTCTTATTTAATGGCGTCCGGCGTTCTCAGGTTGTGCTAGACGGAGCAACGGAGCAAAAGCACTTGGCCTTTCTTCGCAGCCTCAAGCTTCCTCTTGCTAGGCTGGGCAGCTGCTAGGTCAACTGGCCCGTGAACTGGCCTTTGGGAAGGAAGGTCCTGGTTGGGGCATCCCCCAGGCCTGGGCCAGGGCCACCACCTCCCCAACCAGCCTCATTGCTCCTTTCTGGCTGGAAGGGCACGGAGGAGGCTCCATATTCTCCCAGGACTTCCTACCCAAAGACACAGGCATTGTTCTCCCTCCCTCCCTCCCGCTGGAGAGCTCTTGATCTAGGCAGATCCCCCACTTCTCCTTGGGCTGAGATGGCACGGATGATATTACCTAGTTGGGTCATGAAACGCCTGCAAGGACCCCACCCTCCAACCCTGAGCTCTAGATATGCTCCTTTATTGGCATGACAGCCCATTTCCACAGTTCTGCTGCTTCGTGGTCCACCCGGGCTGCTCGGATGGCCCTTCAGCAGTGCCCAGCGCGACCTGTTTCCTGAGAATTAACTTGGAGCGCGTAGCCTCCAGTTGCGTGTTTCTTGGTGGTCCTGGGTGGCCGAGGCCTTGAGTGCAGGAAAGGAGGCCGGGCGCAGAGTGACCCTTGAACTTCCTGACTCAGACGTCCGGCTGAATTGCGGTGGAGACAGAGGTCACCCTCCCTGGCAGCTGTGAGCGTTGTGTGGGTGTCTCAACTGCCTTTCTTTCAACAGGAAAGCTTTGGTGGGTCAAGCAGTGGCTTGGAGTGAGCTGCTTTTTCAGTCCCTCCGTGCCACTAGGAGGAGGAGGAGGAGCAGGAGCAGGGACCCAAGGGTGGGGGTCAGTCCCAGAGGAGAGAAAAGGTTTTGTCTGGTTGTTCTGCGATCCCCAAGCAAAGGTTGTTTTTTTCTTCCTTGCAAAAGTCAGGGTCCACCTTTTTACACACGGCAAATTTTGCTCCACTCTTGCAAAACTGGAAAGCATTAAATGGATGTTTTGATCCATTCATCATTCACTAAATGGGTGTTTCTGGAAAATGAAGGCCTGCCCCAGAAGAGGAAGATGGATCCTCTTTAGATTAGCATCTCGTTAGCCTATGTCTTCGTCCTGGGCAAAGCCGTCCATCTACGTACATTTAAAAAAAACACACAAACACACAGTTGAGCAAAGGTGCCCCCTGACCTTGAATGAGCAAACTCTGTGCATGCTCAGAGATCCTCCTGGAGGGTGGACTTCTCTGCCCGTAAAATCCCTATTTTTGCCAATACTGTACTTCCAACAACGCCTCCAGCATTAGGGTAATTTAAAACATGAACAGAATCCTTCATATCATTCACTTCTCACAGTCACACTGTGAAAAACTCCTAGCAAATTTGCTAACATCCTAATACTGAGGGCCAGCAATTAACAAGATTAGTCAAAATCTATGTAACTCGATTCCCTACAAATAACACGCTTTGGAATTCAGCATGGATTGTAGTTCCCTTCATGGATATGAATTTTCTATAGCTCTAAGAGCTGAGAAAAAGTAAGTGGAATCTTCTAGTGGGATCTGGAAAGACAAAGGAGGTTCCAAAATTAATTTTCAGTAAATTAGAAGGGCAAAACTTTGTTTGAAAAGCCTGAAATAGTCACAACGCATATTGAATTTAAGCATGTCGGGCTTCTGGGGTCTCAGAAGAGCAGCGTAACGTCTGTCTCCCTCTTTCTGCTTTTCCTTTTTTTAAAAGCTGGGGTGAACAGAATGGGGAGGGGGGTTCACCAACTAAGCGGCAGACAGAGAAGTAACTGCCTGGCCTGGTCAGGAGAAGCTGGGGGTCCGGAGCTGTGCCAAATTGTCTCGGGAAAAAGAGCAGACTGTTTTGTTTGTAGATTGTGGCAATTTGTGCATGTCTAGGTGAACATGGCTAAAAATAACCTTTGGAAGAACAGGCGGTCAGGACTGGTATTTATTTAAAAAATAAAGAGACGAGGGGTGGGCGCGGTGGGGGGGGAGGGAATAGAGCAAAAAAAAAAAAGAAAAAAATGTAAAGCACTTTTTTTAAAAACAAAAGAAAACAAAAACGGTCAAAACCAATGTTTGTTTTACTAGCTCCCTTTTACTGTCGTGCTTTGTAAATGTCTTATTTGTGTAATAAATAAAGTCAAGTCAAGTCGAGGTGCGGGCACTGACATCAAGGAAGGATTCCCTTTTCTTTGCTTGGGAAAACGCCCCCCCCCCCCCGGTTCTTGGTTCTTCAGCCCGGCTCCCCTTCTTTTCCTTGGGTCCTCCATGCAGATGGCAAAATCTGGTTCCTTCTCTCCTGGGGAGAGGCCAACGAAGCCAGAGGGCAAAGGGTGGTCTCTGGGGCTTCTGAGGGGGTCTTTGCCCACCGGTTCATCTTGGGAGAACCTGACTGTAATCTTGGGTGATTGGCTCACCATTTCCACTTATTGCCGCCGCCGATGAAAGGAAAGCCGTCGGGCACGGCTCTCCTGGCAGGGGGAGGCCAAGTCGGCCTTAATGGAGAAATTATAGGGAGAGGGTCCTCAGGCACGGAAACCCAAGGGGAGCCGGCTTCTTCCTCCTCGCCCTCCGCCAAGCTCACTTCTTCGGCTTGAAGCCAACGCACTCGTCCCAGCCTTTCCGGCACGTCTTCACAATCCAGTCGTGCTCATCATCATCTGGGTGTGTGTGTGTGGTTAATTGTGGTAGGGGGGAGACACAAAAGGAGAATTAAAATGGATTTCATTCAGGGTGGAGGGGGGGGTGGCTCTCTTGGCCTCTCCTTGTCAAACTGGGGGGTTTTGGCCCCGGGGCTGAGCGAGGAACAATAAAGACTAAGATTTAAGACATAAAAGAAGGATTTCTCAAGGCAGGGCAGATAATAAAAAGGAAGCCAAAGTTTCCTCTTAAAGAGAAAGCAAATGTATTTGAGCTGGTAAAGAGGCACTTGGGTGTTGCTTGCTGTTGGTTTAGCAAGGCAGCTTGACTTGGAAGTAAGCCCAACTGAGTTTAAATAGGGTTTACTCCAGGTAAGTGGGCACAAAATTAGTCTAATTATTTGCCTTGGACGTGACTACAGTCTGATTGCCTTTTAACAACTCCATTAATTTCATCTAGGTTGTTTTTCATACTGTCAAAGCCTCAGCCTTTGTTCAGGAGATTTCAGAAAGCGTGGAAGCGGTGAGCTTATGATTTAATAAGTTTGAGGGGTCCCCTGCATTGATGGGGAAGGGGGGAAAAGGCCATTTTAATCGTGTCCACTGGAATGCCCTGAATCTTAAGCTCGCATATAAACCGATCTAAATTCCATTTTGCTTAGGTGTTCGATGGCTAATCTGGTAACCGGTTCAAAACTGACGCAGCCTCTTTCCCTGGGTTAAGGAAATGGACTCCAGGACCCCCAATAAATATATTTTCATTCCTTCTTGCCTGTGGGAACCCAGCTTGTATCCGTGTCACAATTCTCCAGTTGTGGCCATGAGGTGAAGGGGTGGCAACTGAGCCTAGGGGCTCCCCAGTGAGATTTTGGAGGGGCTAAATGTCCCCTTGCTGCTGTCCCGAGAACGTCCAGGCTGCCTGGGGTACAGCTGGCCCGAGGTCACCCGGGCGATTTGCCACAGCTTAGGGCCACCCGCAGGAAGACGGGGCTGGATGCTGCACAGCCAGGAGCACAAATCCTGCCTCGCAACTCTCTTCCGAACCTCCTGCGCTGGCTCTGGAAAAGGGCTGTGATTCTGCCTGGTTGCAGGAGGGACCCGTCTCTACACTCACCGCCTTCCCTGCAGGGGAAACCACCAAGACCTTTGACCAGGCAAAGGACAGGAAGCCAGGTATTTTCCAAACGCCTTTCCCTCTGGGGGGGGCTTCTCCTGCTTAAACGGGGAGGGATGCAAAGGGAAGGGAACTGCCCAGCCAAAGAGCAACTTAGGGGGATCCTGGATCACCCCCAACTCTCTCACTGGACCTATCCTCACGGGCAGGCAGCCGACGGAGAGAGGGGGACGCAGGGGCTGGCCTGGCCTGGTGGGGATAGCCGAGCGAAGGGTTAACGGCTGGGCTGTGCGCTGGAGAGGAAGAGGAGGCAGGCTGCCTGCTAATCACGCCTGTTCCCGGGCCCTGAATCGGTGCAGCTGTAGCCTCTTCAGCATGAAACAAGGCAAACTGGGTTTATTGTGCTGAACGAGTTTGGGTCTCCTCCCTGATTGTTGGTAATTGGCGGCCAGGGACTTAACAGCCTCTCGATCATCTCTTCCCGCACTCTACCTGACGGTGCAGCTAACAATTTGAATCACAGATGCCGCTCGGGCTCGGCAGCAGCTGCTCGCTCGTTAACCGCCCCGGTCCCTCCTCACGCCGTCCCCGGCAGCTTCCTCGCCCCGCCACACCGGGGTGAGCCTGAAGAGTTGGGTTTTTCATCCATATTTAAAATGGAATTAAAAGCCCGGACAGACTCTGATTAGCGCTGCCAGACGACAAAGTTGTAATTACCTTCCTCTCTTTTTCTTTTTAGCTAAGACAATTGTTGGGCGATATGAACAGGGACATCTTCGCCCTAGATGCGATTTCCTTTTTTTTTTTTAAAAAAAAAGTGGTACTGAGGGTCGGGCGGGGGGAGAAGAGGGGGAAGCGAGAATACAAATACTCTTTAATCAAGTAGAAATTATCACCCTGGTGCAATTAGGCGCTCTGTCTTTCGTTGGGGAGGAATCCCATTGGGACGCGATTAAATTCATTCTCTTTGCGCCTCCTCTTTCCAGCGGCCCCCGTTTGCACCCGAGGATGAGAGTCCCGGCTGGGCCGAGGAAGGGCCCAGCAGCAGAGCGGGTGGCAAAGACACCCTGGATTGGCATCCTTTGCATGCCAACCCAGGCAGGGCAGGAGAGGCCCATGGTAGCCACGAAGGCATGGAATCCATGGGGAGTATCCATATTTACCTTGGTTTTAAGGAAGCCTGGATGGGGTTTTTAAGAAGGTTCTTAAGGCGGTGTTGGGCAACCATTTGTCTGAAATGGTCTACAGTTTCCTGCTTGAGCAGGGGGTCTGGACTAGAAGACCTCCAAGGTCCCTTCCAACTCTGTCATTCTGTTATTCTAGAATCAAGATGAATTCTTAGCACAGTCCCTCAAGCTCTAATAAAGGTCCCCATGCAGAATAACAGAACAGGATGACAGAATTGGAAGGGAACTTGGAGGTCTTCTAGTCCAACCCCCTGCTCAGGCAGGAAACCCTAGAGCCTAGACCATTTCAGACAAGTGGCTGTCCAGTCTCTTCTTAAACACGTCCATGGAGGGAGCACCCATAACTTCTAGTGGCAAGCTGTTCCACTGGTTAATTGTTCTCACTGTCAGGAAATTTCTCCTTAGGTCCAGGTTGCTTCTCTCCTTGATTAGTTTCCACCCGTTGCTTCTCGTCCTCCCTCCAGGTCGACCTAATCTCCTAAGAGTAGGTCGGCCCCCTCTTCTTTGTGGCTGCCCCTTAGATACTGGAACTCCGCAGAGCCATTTCTCCTGAAGAGGCTGCCATGTTTTAATGCCAAAGTGGGGAAGTATCTCTACTTGCTGTTTTCCTCCCTCCTTGTCCAACACCTCCCCCCCCCCATGCCATCAAGACCCCAGCTGGATTCTGTCTACGTATCCAGAGTGGAGAGCTGAAACACAAACCTTGCTTGTTATTCTTGGCAAGGCAGGAATTAAATCTTTGCAGGTTTCAAGTAGTCCTTATTTTAGGGCCTGGAAACCCAGAGTGTGGGCAAGGAGCCAAGCATCGTGCACCCTGCCAGGAGGCTGCTGCCGAGGCCTGGACCCCCAGCCTGGCAGGGCTCCCCCAGGGACCTACCGAGGCCTTCCTCAAATGGGAGGGAGGCGCTTTTAGGTGGAGAGGCTGGGGGGGGGGAAGCGATTGGGACCCTGGCACCCTGAATGCCCACAGCTGAATCCCACCAGGTCCTCCTGGTGAGCCCTCACTGGCGGTCTATGGCCAGGCAGCCACGGAAAAAGTCACCTCCAGAACATGGGAAACACACGATCCGGCCTATTTTACACCCGTGTCTCTTGGCTCAGACTGTGGGCCTTCAAGAGGCTGACGGGAGCACTGAAGACTCATTCAGGGACACTTTCCTACTCTGGCTTCAGAATGCTGTCCTTCCTCTAAAATTTGTCCAGGGCTGAATTAAATAAGAGCCACCCTGCGTCTACCTTACCTGGCGTTCTCAACCCTGGAGACCAGTTTCAGCTCAAAAGGTTCTGCATCTGCAAAGCTTCCAGTGCCGAGCTGCATGCATTTCCTTCTGACCCCAGGCCCAATTTTGGGCCTTGCTAATTGACAGCTCTGAGGATCAGGGCTGCGTGAGGGACCCTCTTTCCTCTCAAAGGGGTTCCCTGACAAAACCAGATCCTTTGGGTTAGTCTAAAGGAAGCTGCACCAAGTGGCGATTTCTGAAGCAACGGCTGCACTGACCCACATGTTGACCCACCGAATATATATGCAGGAGGAAGAGAGAGAAAAAAAGAGAGGCACTCGCTCACCCATCCCATCTCTGCCATTCAGAGGGCTGTGCGATGGAAACCAGCACACAATTGACACAATTTGTTTTGTTCCCTGCCCAGGAGCAGACTCAAAAGAGCTCACGATTAATTTCGGCATAAACCGAACATTCTTGCAAACAGGTCTGGCGCCCGTTCTTTGAAGAATACACTGATTAC